AAGAAAGAAAGAAAGAAAGAAAAGAGAGAGAGAAAGAAAGAAGAGAAGAGAAAAGCAAAGAAAAGAAAAAGAAAGAAAAGGAAAGAAAGCTAGCCCCTGGGCGCGGTGGCTCAGGCCTGTAATCCCAGCACTTTGGGAGGCTAAGGCGGGAGGATTAACTGAGGTTGGGAGTTCGAGACCAGCCTGGCCAACATGGAGAAACCCCATCTTTACTAAAAATACAAAATTAGATGGGCGTGGTGGTGCATGCCTGTAATCCCAGCTACTCGGGAGGAAAATCACCTTTTTTTTTTTTTTTTTTGGAGACCTAGTTTCACTCTTGTTGCCCAGGCTGGAGTGCAATGGCTTGATCTCGGCTCACCTCAACCTCCACCTCCTGGGTTCAAGCGGTTCTCCTGCCTCAGCCTCCCGAGTAGCTGGGATTACAGGCATGCGCCACCACACCCACCTAATTTTGTATTTTTAGTAGAAATGGAGTTTCTCCATGTTGATCAGGCTGGTCTCGAACTCCTGACCTCAGGTCATCCGCCCGCCTTGGCATCCCAAAGTGCTGGGCTTACAGGTATGAGCCACCTCTCCCGGCTTAATTTTTGTATTTTTAGTGGAGACGAGGTTTCACCATATTGGCCAGGCTGGTCTCAAACTCCTGACCTTGTGATCCTCCCGCCTCCGCCTTCCAAAGTGCTGGGATTACAGGTGTGAGCTGCCGTACCCAGCTAAAAGTTGTTTTTTCATCTCTTCAAGCGTTCCTCCAAGTATCCCAATGTGGCCATTTTTATTGGGGCAGTATAGCTTGACGGTTAAGATGGTGAACTGATGTCAATAACTAGCACTGAGATGCTATCTACTTAACATTTCTAAAGGCCGAGCGTGGTGGCTCACACCTGTAGTCCCAGCACTTTGGGAGGCCAAGGTGGGTGGATCACAAGGTCAAGAGATCGAGACCATCCTGGCCAACATGGTGAAACCCTGTCTCTACTAAAAATACAAAAATTAGCCAGGCCTGATGGCGTGTGGCTGTGATCTCAGCTACTCTAGAGACTGAGGCAGGAGAAACGCTTGAACCCGGGAGGCAGAGGTTGCAGTGAGCCAGGATTATGCCATTGCACTCCAGCCTGGCAACAGAGGGAGACTCCGTCTCAAAAAAAAAATAAATAAAGGTTTCCTTACCTGTGAAAGGGTTTCCTTACCTGTGAAAGGGAACTAATATTACTTACTTTGTAGGATCATTGTGAATAGTAAATGAGATAACGTACATAGACATTATAAATGCTTAATGTAAATAATAATGTAGTCATGACTACATTATTATGTAATATTATGTAATGATATATTACATAGATATTATGTAATGATATCTACCTAAAAACAGGAGACTGAAGATAAAGGTGGTTAAAAAAGAAAACCTTTGGCAGGGCGCGGTGGCTCACGCCTGTAATCCCAGCACTTTGGGAGGCCGAGGCAGGTGGATCACGAGGTCAGGAGATAGAGACCATCCTGGCTAACACGGTGAAACCCCGTCTCTACTAAAAATACAAAAAATTAGCCAAGGTGTGGTGGCGGGCGCCTGTAGTCCCAGCTACTCAGGAGGCTGAGGCAGGAGAATGGCGTGAACCCGGGAGGCGGAGCTTGCAGTGAGCCAAGGTCCTGCCACTGCACTGCAGCCTGAGCAACAGAGCGAGACTCCGTCTCAAAAATTAAAAAAAAAAAAAAAGAAAACCTTTATATCATATCAGAAAATCAAAAAAAACTTAGCGAGGCAAGTAAGTACCAGTAATACTGCTATGGCTCCTGAGTGTTCTGTATCATAACTGGGCACACAGAAATCTAAATTTATAGTCTTCAATCTCTCCAGTCCTGGGGTACATAATCCAAATTAATGAAAAAATGAACATAACAATAAAAGAATTAACATTTTAAATAAATAATAGGTTGATATAGAGGCAGATGTTGAGATTGATAGATATGGATAGAGACATGATGCAATATTATAAGTAGGAAAGTATTCTCTTTTTTCTTTCTTTCTTTTCTTTTTCTTTTTTTGAGAAACTGTCTCACTGTGTCACCCAGGCTGGAGTGCAGTGGCAAGATCTCGGCTCACTGCAGCCTCCATCTGCTCGACTCAAGCGAATCTCTTGTCTCAGTCCCCCAAGAAGCTGGGACCACAAGCACACACCACCATGCCCCGCTAATTTTTGTATTTTTTTGTAAAGATGGGGTTTCACCATGTTGCCCAGGCTGATCTCAAACTCTTGGGCTCAAGCCATCTGCCCACCTTGGCCTCCCAAAATGCTGGATTAAAGGCATGAGCCACTGTGCCTGGCCAGTATTCCAATTTTTACTTTTACTGGAGGCCAGAAGTCCAATATCAAGGTAACAATAGGATTGGTTCCTTCTGAGGACTTTGAGAGAGAATCTGTTCTATGCTTTTTACTTAGCTTCTGGTAGTTTACTGGAAAACTTTGGCATTCCTTGGCTTGTTGAGGTATAACTCAAGTCTCAGTCTCACTTGTCGCTTGCCACAACAGTGAAGAGTGCTCCAGGGAAGGCATCATCTGGGTTTACCAGGAAACTATGCAAAATGAGGACTATTTTAGTGGTCTCTGAAGCCCTCTTGAGCGGTGGCTGTTTATCTTCCAATAGCCCTCCTTCTCTCTCAGACCCTGGAATGAGCTTCATCTTTGCTTATAACTGCTACCTCTAGACTCTTGTCCCTACAGCTTGCCCTAAAAAAATCCAGCTGCTTTGAAAATCATACTAGACCACCACAATTTCTCTTTGTTACAGACATTTACATTTCCTGAAGACCTTAAAAACCTTACTTTCTTTTTCTTCAGCAATATCCTTGTCATAATTCTTGTTAAGGGTTTTTTTTTTTTTTTTTTTGAGATGGAGTCTTGCTCTGTCGCCCAGGCTGGAGTGCAGTGGCAAGATCTCGGCTCACTGCAGCCTCCATCTGCTCGACTCAAGCGAATCTCTTGTCTCAGTCCCCCAAGAAGCTGGGACCACAAGCACACACCACCATGCCCCGCTAATTTTTGTATTTTTTTGTAAAGATAGGGTTTCACCATGTTGCCCAGGCTGATCTCAAACTCTTAGGCTCAAGCCATCTGCCCACCTTGGCCTCCCAAAATGCTGGATTACAGGCATGAGCCACTGTGCCTGGCCAGTATTCCAATTTTTACTTTTACTGGAGGCCAGAAGTCCAATATCAAGGTAACAATAGGGTTGGTTCCTTCTGAGGACTTTGAGAGAGAATCTGTTCTATGCTTTTTACTTAGCTTCTGGTAGTTTACTGGAAAACTTTGGCATTCCTTGGCTTG